AAAAATAATGATTGAATAATAATGATAAGATTTTTAAAAAAAATATGAAATTTTAAATTAAAAAAATAATTTTTATTTTATAATTTAAAATAAACTAATAAAAAATTAAACACATGGCATCCATAATTAAAACAAAACTCAACTTCATCACTTTTAAAGTAAAGTAATCATTATTAGTTAATAATTACTTTTTATCATTTACCATAAGCGTACAAACTAGATAAATCTTATACCATATTACCCCATTAGATCTATATGCCAACTTAAGAGGGTTGAGTTGGAATTTTAAAAGGTTAAATCTTTAATTTGGTCTCTAAACTATTATATAGACTCACGATTTGGTCCCTAAACTAAAAAAATATCTAATTTGGTTCCTAAACTATTGTATAAATCCTTGATTTGGTCCCTACTATTTACCAATTTGCCCCAAGTTGGTCCTTTTATACAAAAACAACTAATGTGTCTCATTATTAATATGACACGTGGCCATTAAGTTATTGTTTTTTGTTGTTAAGTTATTGTGTTTCGCCATTAAATACTAGACACGTTAGTTTTTTTTTTTTGTACAAAAGGACTAATTTGGGGCAAATTGGTAAACGGTAAGGACCAAATCGAAGGTCCATACAATAGTTCAGGGACCAAATTAGAGATTTTTTTAGTTCAGGAACCAAATCGAGGGTTCGTACAATAGTTCAGGATCAAATTGAAGATTTAACCATTTTAAAAATAAAAATAACGGAACATCACAAGTAATAACAAGTAAATAAATGGTTGTTAGATAGGCAAGGTCCTTGATTGTGTCAACCAATTTTTAGTGGCATGGTTATTCTGACACGAACTTTATTAATGTCACACAAATAGTATAATAAATGTATTTATTTTAATTGATTTTATTAATATATAATTTTTTAATTAATTATAATATTTAAAAATATTAATTTATAAGTTAATTTTAATATATTAATTATTTTATTAATTAAAGTTTATAATTATTAAATAATTTTTAAGAGTAAGACAATATTTTATGTGGCTTAACAAAAGGTGGTTGGCCAATAACCATTCTCAAGCTCTAGAATGGATAAAATGGCCATTAGTAGTGTTGGATCATGTTCTGATTAATTTACCAAAAATAGTAATAATGTCCCCACTAAATTTTGGGGAAAAATTAGTTAGTTAGATCCTTAACTTTTTTAAGTAAATTCATTTTGATTCATTAACTTTTGTTTTTACCATTTTCATCCTTTAATGCTTTATTTCATATCATTTCAATCCTTTTTAGTTTCTTTATCTATTAGAGAGACTACTCTTGGTGATCATGAGTAATGGTGATACTGAGTGTTGAGGGATGAATTTGTACTACTTTAAAAATGGTAGCATGTGTGGCTCCACATCAACAAAGACCCATGTGGCATATCTTCTTTACAATAGCCATGCTCGACTCTATCCATATCAAAGCACCATCGTTAGCAATATCAAATCTCTCGGCTGGAATCTTGCTCTAGCCGTGGTTGAATCTACCTCTGTCAAAGCTTTATCAACAACATCAACTTTCTTAGCTGAAGTTTCGCTCTAACTATGTTGAATTATTCATGACACATCTACTTCGACCAAAGGGTTCGCATGATTTGTCTCTACATTAGACATGCTGCTATATTATATTTTCTGCTGATAGCCGCAATGGAGTCAACATTGCTAGGAGCGGCATTTATCCACTTCTCTGGGAATGATACAGACATGTTCTACTTCAGCAGCATTTTCTTATACATGGCCAGACACGGCTACATTTATCTTCACAACATCGCTGGAAGTTTTTTATGGTCATAATCTCTGTTGTTATGTTTATCACTACAATTGGCTCCCAGCAATGGATAAGGAGCTTATCTTTGCTACGCGATTCCCATCAATGGACAACGGGCTACATCTACACAGCTCACAACGATGGACAAAAGGGCCAAAATCACTATCTCATTTAACCTCCAACAATGGGGAAAAGGCTACACATTTCTACGTATCTTTATTACATCGACTCCCAACAACGGACAAAGGGTCAGATCTCTACACGTTTTATTTCACTAGCTCCCTAAAATAGACAAAGAGTCAACACAACTCGACACGATTAGCATGAGGTCAATAATAATTGCAACCCTACGATTGGATGGGATGGCTACTCTTCAATGATAAAAATCCATCAAGTAGTGGTTGGTAGTCCTTTGGTGGTCACCCATGCATGGTGGTGGGGTGCCCAATGAGCAACAACAACTAGGACTACGTTCTGGTTGTGTGGGTATGATAAGAAGGGCCAACGCTTGTTAGTGGTATCACACACCTTGTCGTATTGAAGGCCATGGATGTGGCTAGCATCCCCCTTCCATGGAGACAACTCCACCTCTCTCTATCACATATTTATTACTATGGTGGAGCTTGGTTTGATGGGATTTACCCTTCGCGACTTGACAGATTAGTGAGAGTGCTCTTCCAATTCGACATAGTTCATGCTCCAACCATGGGCAAGCTAGCCACTGTCCCTCTGGCTATGGGAAAGCCATTCATGGCTGACCCTACGACACTCACGTCGCATGGTTGACGGTCATGCACATCATTATCCTTTTATATAAGAGGATAAAATTACTGGTCGTCGGTAATCCCGACTCATAACATACTCCTTTCATATTCCATGTGTTTGTAGGTATCGCTGATTAACAATACTTAGCTCGAGACAATGATATCACAACACACAACAATATTACTCATCCCTTATCTTGGCATAATGCCAGCCATGCGCAATAATAGCATACAAATGTTCGCCATGGCCACGGAACAAAGGAGTGCAGCCATGGTCATCTTTGTTGTCTCCCTCCACACATAAAGGCGTATCCTTATTTGCTATACACATTCATACATCTTATACTTGAAAACAAATATTCACTAATATTTTGCCTTCACTGTAGGTGTGCACAAACCCATGAATCCAAGCTTATGCAAAATAGTGGGGATAAACTTTGGGAGCAGTGGCTTGGTAGGCATGGATGGGTGAACGTTGCTTGTCTTGCGAGGCAGGGTATTTGCGCCAATGAAGCTTGGCACTAGCGATGTTGCCTCGCTTCGCCAAGAGGGGCTTGGTGGCGAAGATATGAGAGTGAACCTGATTCCCAAAATAATGCCTTTTAATGTTAACCAAGAGCCTGAAATCCCATGAGAAATTAACCAAAGATGCCATCTTAGTCCCCATCAACAATCAGCCGCCATATTTAATGCAAAAGTGGCTGCAGAAATTACGTTATGTTGGAAAATGCTAGGAAAGATTACTGTTTGGTTAAGGATCTTCTAATAATCTTGCATAAACCTTGGGAACTTTACCAAAATCTAGTGTAGATGTTGTTTTGCCAGCTGCACTCAAGTAGTTTTCCAGAAAAAGGAGTTTTGTGTGGCTAGATAGTTACCAAAAATGGGCAATCTTCAGCATATTAGAGGTACTTCATTGACAACAACGGTGCTTCGCCAAAATCATTGGGCAATTCATGATATCACCATTGGAAAGTTGCCAACAATGTCCAAAACCACTTAATGCTTGACAACTCACCTAAATCTATCCATTAGGTCACTGTACACTCCTGAGCTGTCAACCCAAAAATTACGAAAATGCCACTGCACATCTATATTATTATGTTCCCTTCATTTCCACAAGAAGAATAAGACAAACGAGATTTTTTGGGGGGACATAACTTTATCTTCCTCTTCTGGACATCCAGACCTTGATCTTCCACATAGCAGCTCCTTCATCCTTATCTCCCTATCACACTCACACCTAACGGCTCCAGCATCATTTTTTAGCTTCACACTTTCTAAGTCTCCAGCATTGCTAAACACCTCTAGATTCATACAATATCATGGCTAGAAAATGGCACAACGCAACTTTTGTTCCTGGGTTGCTTTCTTGAGCATCAAACGGTCAAGTTGAGAAGTCAACATCAAAACAAAATTAGGTCACCCTCTTACAAGCCTCGGAACGGTCATCCTTTCTTCTCCCATCACTACTCTCAAGTTTAGACTTTGAGAAAAGTTTCAAAAGGAGAAATTGTTGTGTTTTGTAATCATGAAGATAATCTAATATGAAGTAAGGGTATTTACTAGGGATCATAAAGGGCGCATTCATTGTCATTATTTTGATGTCATGATTATATACATGTAAATGTAGCCTTCAAGTTATGATGTTCAAACTTCAAAAGAAGTTTAATTTCTAGTGCTCCTACCATCAGGCACTTCTCTGCTGTCTACTTTTGATAGTTATGTAATCACTCTTGCCCACAAGTATCCTATTGTCCTCATCTAGCCTTCTTGTTTCTTCTCATGGCTTGGTCAGCAAAATTGCATCATCAAACTTGGCTGGGGAGTTCGGCACCAACCTCATCGCTGGATAGATTGACATGGCTGATGGCATGTGGCATTCTGTACATGAAAATAGTTTACCAAAAGAACCTTCCTCACCTCTCTTGGGTGTCATCCTAGTTAGCTTCCACATCATTACCATCATTGACTCATGAACCCACATCATCAACACACCCCAACAAAATGGCCACTCCATTGGAGAGGTCATCCTAGAGCTGCATTTCATTCTACTTTTCTTCGGTAGCATAACACTTTCAATATTTCATCTCAACAGTACTTGTTAGTCTTCAGCCAAATGTTTCTAGCCATGCTTGTCACAAGAGCAACTTCATCTCGTATCGCTAATGGAAATCAAGAGCCTGACCAAGATGATGGATGAGAAGTGTAGTAAACACGTCCACTAGTAGACATCTTCAATAATCGTTTGCAAGGAATCATCGACCCAAGCCTTGCATCTTTGGTCTAAGTCATTTAGGTCTTACACAAAGGAGGACTACCCTGCTTCTCACCAATTTGCAGACTCAGCATACCATGTAGGATCAGGCTCAGCCGGTCAATATGACCAAGACATCTCAATGCAGCAACCACCAAAAATTCAAACTGGGGCTACTGATGGTAATGGAGGATCTGTGGTGTGATTAAGTAACTTGGTAGCGCCAATGATCGTTACCACCAACATTGATGGGGCCCCACCTAACGCAACTAAGTCCGTTCAAGGTTTTGTCACCATGGTAGACCTTACTGCTCTCTTAGACAAAAAGCGTTCCAAGCAAAATTTAACTACTTTCCAGTTCATCTATGACAGACCTTATTCAAAGGAGATTCTTTCTAAGCCATATCCCAAGAAATATGAGAGCCTCACGTTTCCACAATACGATGGGAGGAAAGGTAACGTTGTGGAACATGCAAATTCCTTGACACCATGAGGGCTCATGCTAACGATAGAGACCTGTGCTTGCATGAGTTTTTCAAATCCCTTTTTGATAGAGCTTATAAGTGGTACAATACTTTGCTTCCAGGTTCTGTCCATACTTGGGATGAGATGGTTAAGCAGTTTTGCTAAAAATATTTTCAAAGCGAAGAACGCATCACAATCCTTGATCTCCACAACACCGGTCAACGCACGGGTGAGGATCTGATGGTGTATGTGAAGAGGTTTAGAGATCTAGCACTTGACTGTTACTGTGGCCATGCTGAGTCTTTCTCAATGGAGATTTGCATCAACAATATGTTCCTAGAATACTGTGCTGTCCTTGAAAACATTAGGATCAATTAGTTCGCAAGGTTGCTTGATGCTGCTAAGAGAACATCCATTTCTGTTAAAGTCGTTTTTATTGGGAAGTCAACAGAAAAGCCAACGGAGAAGAAGACTACAGCTCATACTTTAGTTGTCTCTGTTCATGACCAAGGGCAAGGCCAGAAAAGAAGGGACCATGATACAACATCACCACCACCTATTTCTCTCATTGTCGAAGAGCTAGATGTGTTCTTAGATCAATGGATTGCTAATGGTGCTATCATATTGCCTCAATCATCTTATGAGCCTAGCAATGATGACAAGCGCAACCCCAAATATTGCCGCTACCATCGCTTCACCCATCATTCCACTATGGACTATTTCTCCCTAAGGAGGATCTATCATCACTGTGTTGCGGAGGGCTTATTGGAGGTTCTGAATGATACACACTAATCTCATAAAATATATATTTATATGATTTATTTCTTCTATTAGTCTATTTGTTCTTTTTTTATGGTTTTTTTTTCCAATAAAAGATTTGATGGATGTTGGTTTGAAAGGGTTTCATAATAGTATTTACTTTGAATTAATTGGCTTAATTTAATTTTTAGTCTATTAACTATCACCTTGATTTCATTTTAATCTAGAAACTATGTTTTGTTTTTAAGTGGTCTATTAACTTTCAGATTCATTTCAATTTCATTTACTTGGTCAAAGATAACATAAAACTTCCTATTCTGTTAGAGAACAGTTAGTCCTCTAATTATATTTTTTTGATTTTTTAGTCCTTAAATTTATATTTGTTATAAAAATAGCTTTTTTACTTAAAATTTTTATTTATAGGCTTTGATACCAGATTTTTATACGGGTTTTCCTATTTCTTTAATTTGGTATCAAAGTCTGAAAGTTAATAGACCACTTAGAAATAATAATTTTATGTATAAAAATCTGGTATCAAAACCTAAAAATAATAATTTTAAATATAAAAGCTATTTTTATAACAAATATAAATTTCAGGACTAAAAAATAAAAAAAATATAATTAGAAGACTAACTGTTCTCTAACAGAATAGGAAGTTTTCCGTTATCTTTGACCAAGTAGACGAAATTGAAATGAATTTGAAAGTTAATAAACCACTTAGAAATAAAACATAGTTTCTAGACTAAAATGAAATCAAGGTGATAGTTAATAGACTAAAAATTAAATTAAGCCGAATTAATTCATTCATTCACTCTTAGATTATTAACGTTTTGAAGCATGTTTCTTTATTTAGGAGAAAAATTACCTCGGATGAAAGAGATGAAAATGGAGAGAGGTTGATTTAGATTAGAGAGCAGATGATTTTAAGTTTTTGATATATATATATATATATAACATAATGGATAGTGTAAAAAATCATAACAAGATATTATGTTTCTTATTTGATTCATATAAATTTTAATTTTTGTCCTATCAAATATCAACTCTATTACTATTATCATCTTTAGGAGGCATTTATTTCTAACATTTTTGGCCATATGTGTAACCCAAATTTATTTTGGGAATTTACTTCTATTGCGCTAAAATATTTAATTAGATCATTTTCTTTTGTAATTTTAATATTTACACTCAAAATAACAAACCAAACATATTTTAATGATATATGCATAAAAAACATATTTTAATGATACCAGTCCCAAATCAAAAAGAAACTGAGAAAAATGATAAAGAAGAAAATAGAAGTCAAGAACTAGAACAAGGAAGAAAAACTATAAGACAAGGTTTTACAAGTTTGGTTCATCTACATTTTAGTTATCATAAATAATTATAGGTTTAGTTTAAGTTTTTGTTACTGAAATTTTTATTCAACTGAATCTATTTTCAAGTACATATATCTATTGGAAATATAGCAATAACGAAAAATTAAAAATGTTAAAAGTTAATACAACTAAATAAAGACAATTCTAAAGCATAATGGTAGTAAATGAAGATAATATTTGAAAAATGAGAAAAGAAAAAAAAGGAAGAAGGAGAAGGCAATCAGCAATAACACATTTGATAAAAAAAAAAAAAGAGACCAAAAGACTGAAAATCTTTTAATTATTAGATAAATAATTAATATATTTTATTAAAAAAATGAAAACCAAATGGTTAAAAATTCCTTAATCAATAATTAATTCATATTTCACAAAAGACAAGGTGAAATTAATTCATTAATTCGTTAATTCATTAAGGGTATTTCAGTTTTTTATTTTTATTCATGACGTTTTAATTGTCAAGACATAATCTTAATTTTTTATAATTCTAATGATTAATTATATTTTATAAATGAAAAAAAATAAAAAAGGTTAAAAACTAATGCCATGGGATTGAACAAACAAGAAAATATGACAAAATAAAATAATGAGAAATGAAAAAGTAATGCTTCGATTAACAATTAGTATATTGTAATTGCACCAAACCAGAAGTTCCTCTTCAGTTCGCGTCTACACTCCGGATTGACCTGCAAAGCCCCGAGATGGAACTCGGGGTAGACACTCTGATGCTTAAGTCAGCAATAATCGGGACTACCTTTAGAGTGGAGATAAAAAGAGCTTAGGGTTGGTTTCAATTACCTTTAGATGTGGCCCATGGGGGGTATTTATAGGATCCAATGAGGAACCCATGTGGCATGCCAAGCAAGATATTTGGGATCTGATGTGTATCTCCAGACGGTTATTTCGGGATCGGGAAATTGAGAGATATTCAGATGCGAGGATGTCTATCATAACTGTTGTGCAGCTCATCATAAGGAATCAGGTGCGGGCATGCTCATTGTCGCTGTCATGCAACTATTTGAGTGGGAAGCTTTGAATTTATCCTTCACTTTGGTCATAAAGGAATTACTATAGCAGTTCGAGGCTTGGCACCTCGGACCTATCCTTACACTATTCTCCCCTGAAGTCATTCACATGTGAATGATGTTGTTGGGGATAATGTGAGGAGTGCATAAACAAAGAGAATACGGATAAGTCATAGAAGTAAAAGGAAGAAGTAAAATTTGTAACTCGAATGCATACATAGCCATAACTAATAATGAAGTATGCGATATGGGGTCATGCTGGGGATGCTTAAAATAGAATGTGACCAGAGTGATCGTGGCCGTAGCCATGGTAAAAATAATGACCGGAGTCAATGTGGCCGTAGCCATAGTAAGAGATGATGACCGAAGTCATTGTAGCCAGAGCCGTGATAAAAAATGATAAGCGGAGTCATAATGGTCGGAGCCGCGATGAACTATAAAGACCGGAATCATAATGGCCGAAGCCATAATAAAATATAATGACCGGAGTCATAATGGCCGGAGCTGAAGCGAAACATGTGACACTGGGTCACTGTGGCAGTAGCCGAAGTGAAACATGTGACAGTAAGTCACTATGGCCGAAGCCGATGTGAAATGTAATGCAGGATTATTGTGGCCGGAGCAGAAGTGAAACACTTGCAAAAATTGAGAATGTGTAAAAGTGAGCGAGGGTGTTGAAATGGGCTTAAATGGGCTCGTCTAAAAAGTCTGATAAAGGGGTAGTACGTCATGTGACAGTTGTCCTTTGAATGACGTGCGCAATAAATACGGCCGTAAAAAAATAACTACAACAGTTAAACGGGCAAATTTAAAAAATGAACCGTCGAGCTCAAAACAGTGCCGTTTGGGGTTGACCGTCGAATTCCAAACGGTGTAAATAGGAACCGTGAGATTAAACGAATCCCAACCTTTGAGATCTAATTTTGCCCAGAGGTATAAATAGGCATTTTTTCTACAGAAAGAAGTTTACTTGTATTTCATTTTCTGCAAAATTTCTGCAAAAAGCTTTATTGTGTGCTTCCTACGCGTGAACTGCTACATCATTTGGGGATTTCCACATCAAGCTTACGAAACCGAAATCAGGTAATGTATACGAACCTCTGATTTTGGTTTAGTCGAAGTGTCACTCTCTTTTCTCCCTTTCTGTGGTTGATTTAGAGTCCTCTGAAGGAAGTTAGGGTTAGAAGTGAGAATGATTTTAAATGTGCACTAAAGGGGGTTGTTTTGTTTTTTGTTTTTTTTTTTTTTTAAAGGGTCCTGACTTCATTCCTCCCCTCTACTTCGTGTAGAGATTGAGAAAATGTCTTCAGAAGAAACAGTAAATGTGGGAGGGAATGAGGTAATGCCCTGGATTATGGGAGCATGGACTCGAAGAGTAGTCCGTCTCTATCTAGTTCGAAGAAAACGGTGGAGGGGGTGAGAGGGGATGAGGTGGTGAAGGTTGGACGGAATGAGGTGGTGGGGGTTGAGGGGGATAGTGTGCCCATCACTGTGGTAGAAGTAGAGGGTAAGATAAAGAGAGGTTATGACGTAGATGCAGACATAGTGGAAGAGGTGAAGCAGTACAAATCTGAAATCAAGACCAGGGATAGCCTGGGTCATTTAGTGGAGAATTACAAGATCTCTTCCCAAGTGTTAGTTAGGCCAGCTGGGGTAGAGGAGAGAGCGTGTTCTGCTCCTTGGGATCATTGGATGCCCGTATATGCCCATTATTTGTTTGCTGGGCTTAGGTTTCCAATTCCTGAGTTGCTAGTAGGTTTGCTATTAGATTATGGTATAGGGTTGACAAAGTTAGTCCCCAACGCTATGAGGGTAATAACAGGATTTTTAGTTTATTGCCGAGCTCAGGGGATTAGTGTGCCAACTGTAAATATGTTTAAATACTTTTTTGTTTTAAAGGGGAGTAGTAGGAAGGATAAGGGGTGGTATTATTTCACGCCTAGGGTAGCTAATAGGGAGAGCAGGGGTTTATTTATGGCGGGTCCTTCATCCATTAAAGGATGGAAGGAAAAATTCTTTTTTGTAGATGACACGGAGTGGGAGAGGGGGGATACCGAGGTGAGGGAGTTAGCATCCTGGAAGGCTAAAAGAGCCAACCCGAATAAATTTAGCTTAAACGAGGATAAGGATGAAGAAGTGGGGAAGCTGGTGGGGAAGGGAGGATTTACTGAACATCATGGACCTCACCAGCGCACAATGCATAGAAGCTGCTGAGCTCTATGGGCCAAGCACTTTAAGTGAAGGTTTGTTTAACTTGCATTATAATACTGAATGTAGAATATAGAACTGTGTGATTGATATTGTGTGTTTCTTATTCTGCAGCTGAAATGGACAAAATTTTGGGCGCAGCAAGAGGAACGGCCATCCCCAAGAAGCCAAGGAAGAAGTCAAGGACTTCAACCAAACAAGTGGATGAAGGAAGAGTTGGAGAAAGGAGGTAGTGCCCAGCATTGTAGCCGGACTGGAGGAGGAGGAGCCAGAGCTGCAGTTGAAAAGGAAAAGTAAGGAGGAGAGAGGGGCACTACAGAAGAAGAAGAAGGTGGTGGAGGAGGAGGAAAGGGGGAATGAGGTTCCCCAGTTCTTGCCTGGGCCTCCTCCTGTTGAGCTTGACCCTGAGCTCAGGGAGCTTGAGGAGGGGGCCGAGGTATGGGCTCTTGGCAAGGGAAAAGGGTCTTGTTCCCCTGTTTTCCTTTCAGAGTAGCCTGTTCGAGGCGAAGAACATGATGAGGGCAAGGAGGTTTATCAACACCACCTTCCCTGAAATGGACAAGCGCCAAGCACGGGATGAGGCTCTAAGGTACTGTGAAGCTTCAGTAGTGAAGCACGTTTTAGAGGTATGTTAAGTTATTTGTATGTATTGGTGTTGTTTGTTTAATCTCTTTCTTCTTCTTTTCTTTTTTCTCTTAACTTCTGCTTTGAATTGCAGAGCGCGAGCTGGGTGAATGGTCTAGCCCAAGAGTTCATGGATAGCGTGAAGGAGCACTCCCTCTTGCAGAGGCAGTGTGACTAGTTGCAGAAAGAGAAAGAGGAGTTGGAGAAGAAGAAAAAGGAACTACAAGAGGCGCTAAACGAGGTGGTTCCAACTATGAAACAACTGGAGTAGGAGAGGGCTTCCCTGAGCACCAAACTCGTCTTTGAGGAGAGCAAACGAAGGATCTCAGAAAGCGAGCGTGAGGCTCAGGTGAAGGAAATAACGCTGATGAAGGATGCTTTCATGGAGCTGAAGGAGAATGTGTAGATGTTTGTGCACAATGGGATGAAGGAGCACATCAACAACTTCATCAGCTCTAGCTCGTTTGACAACATTGTCAACTTATACTGGCTGCCAACTACCATCATTGCTTTCACGGATTGCAGAAAGAAGGTGAAGGCTGAATATCCCGAAGTGGATATTACAAAGATCACCTTCGGCGAGCAAGAAGAAGGAGTGGAGGAGAACGGTGAGAGCATGTCAGCAGACTTTCGTCCTCAGATCAAACTGAGGTGGGATCATGATGCGGACTGACGCACTGTTTTCCCTCCACAGTTCGACTTCAAGTTCGTTGCAGTGGAGGAAAAAGGGGCAGAGGTAAAGGAAGACGAAGTGGAGGCAGGAGTGGAAGGAGTTGAAGTGGATGAGAACCAACTAGTTCCAAAAGTGGAGATTCATCCAGTTCCTTCTGACGATGAGCAGCCTCCTCTGTCAGACGAGTAGCAGCCAGCACAGCCACCTCTTCCAGCTGGGCCAGTTTAGCCATCTCTTCCAGCGGAGGAATAATTTCTATTTTTTAGTTTTGCTTTGATATTTTTATTGTAGAAATAGTAAAACAGCTTGTAATACTATTATTACTTTGAATGAAAATTCATTTTTGAAATCATGTGTTTGTTTGTGTTTGCTTTACATTTTTGTTATTATATATTGATAGAAGAACTAAGATTATTTGAGACGTGATTTGAAAGAAAGTTAACCACTTTCAGAAATGAACCAAAGAGAAGTACGTCACTTTAGACGAATTAAGAAGAAGTAAATCACTTTAGATAAATTAAAAGGAAATAAATCACTTCAGATGCATAATGACATTCATTATCAGGAGTTACGTTCAAAGAATGAGTATTAAATAGATGGACTTCGGATACATAGAATAAGAGGTAAGATGAATCTCAACAATCACGAAGTAAGAAGTGTAAAGAACAGTAAGACATAGATCACTTGAAAGAATTTTATTAGGGGTAAAATTTCTTCAAGTTATTGACATTCCAGACTCTAGGAATTCTCTTTCCTACAGCGTCTTAGAGGACATAGGCACCAGGATGCGGCACCTCGGCCATGGTATAAGGACCTTCCCAATTCAGGGCGAGTTTGCCAAAACGAGTTTCAAATCCTGTTAGGCCACCTTTTATGAGAACAAGGTCTCCTACTTTGAATGTTCGAGGGTGGACTCATTTATTGTAGAAGTTGGCTAGTTTCTACTTGTATACAAGAGTTCGAAGCCCTGCTTCTTCTCTGACTTCGGCAAGCAGATCAAGGTTTTCCCGAAGTAGCTGTCCATTTTGTCCTTCATCAAAATGGGTGACCCGGAAGCTTGGGACTCTTATTTCAATAGGAATGACTGCTTCGGTACCAAAGGCGAGATGATAGGGTGTTTCACCTATTTCAGTTAATTATAACTTTAGAATGTGCTTTATGCATTATGCATATTTTCTCTAAGGTAAAGCCGTAACAGGAGAAGTAAAATAATATAAAAATTAATCAAATAGACCAAGTTTGAAGTAATACCTATGACAGTTCGGCTTGTGGTTCTGTATGCCAAGAGGATGTTGTTGAGCTCGTCTGCCCATTTGGCCTTATGTTGTTCTAATCTCGACTTTATACCTTCTAAAATGCATTTTTTAACAGATTCAACCATGCCATTGGACTCCGGATGGTAAACGGAGGTGAACTGCAATTTGATCCCATAACTGGAACAGAAATCTCGAAATGAAGAGCAATTGAACTGAGTTCCATTATCAGCCACAATCTGGTTCGAGATCCCATATCTGCAGATGATCGAGCTGAAAAAAAAGTCTTTGACCTTCTTGGAGGTAAGACTAGATAATGGCCGAGCTTCAACCCACTTTGTGAAATAATCTATACCAACAATCAGATGGGTTACACCACCAACCCCTTTCATGAATGGGCCTAAAAGATCCAGTCCCCACTGAGCAAATGGCCACGGTGCTACCAAGTTCGTGAGCTCTTCTGCTGGTTGGTGAGTCAGATGTGCAAATAATTAACATTTCGAGCATTTCTGAACAAAGTGAATGGCATCTTTGTACATGTTTGGCCAGTAATATCCCTGCCTTAAGACTTTGTGAGCCAGAGTTCTAGCACCAACGTGGCTCCCACAGACACCTTCATGTACCTCCCGAAGTGCATACTCAGCTTCATAGGGGTTCAAACACCGTAGAAGAATGAGTGAGAAAGATCTCTTATAGAGGACCCCATCAACGAGTGTATACCGAGATGCTTTCTTCCTCAACTTCATTGCCTCCGGCCTGTCCTCAGATATTATCCCATCTCGCAAAAAGGAGATAATTGAGTCAGTCCAACTCGGCGTGTCAGGGTCTGTGCTAATCTCCATCATCCGTGACTTCATCAAGCTTGGTTCGTCTAAGACCTCCACAAAAACTGATCTGGAACTTAAAGAGCTATCAGAGGCAAATTTAGAGAGTGAATCTGCCTGTTCATTCTCAGTTCGGAGAATTTTGCTTAGACAGAATTTCTAGAATTTGCATTTCAACTCAGCCACCAGGGCTACATATTTCACCATCACAAGATCAACGACTTCGCAGATTGAGTTGATTTGGTTCAACACCAGCTAGGAGTCACTGTATCCATCTGGACCAATCAAGAGAGCGCCAGCTCCTGATCCCTTGCTACTACATGCTCCGTCAACATATAAGGTCCAGTCGTTAGGCTCTAGATTAGGGGTTGAAGGACATGGAGTGCATTCGACAATAAAATCTACTAGTGCTTGAGCTCGAATTGTCGATCTCTGTTGAAATGTTATCTCAAATTCCCCCAATTTTACTACCCACTTAATTAATCTTCCAAAGCACCTTGGTTTTTGCAGAATCTGCCAGAGAGGTTGATCTGTGAAGACGATAATTGGGTGTGACTGGAAATATGGTCTCAGCTTCCTAGCCGAAGTGACAACTGCTAATGCTGCTTTCTCAGCTATAGGATACCTCAACTCTGCTCCGTGCAGTACACTGCTGATATAATAGATTGGTTTCTACTGCTTGGCTTCTTCTCTCACCAGAACTGAACTAATGGCTTCATCTGAAATTCCCAGATACAAATAAAGAATCTCTCCATCTACGGCCTTAGTTAGTAGAGGTGGCGAGTTAAGATAAGACGGCGAGCTAAGATAAGACTTCAGCTTGTCGAATGCGGCTTGTCATTCCTGGTTCCATTCAAATTTCTTTTGTTTTCCTGATTCATCCTTCTGGGCGGTTGACCTCATAATCTTGAAGAATGGTAGATACTTATTTGCTGACTTCGATATGAACCGATGAAGAGCTGCCACCCTTCCAGTCAACCTCTGTATATCTTTTACTGATTTCGGCGGTTCCATCTCGGCAATTGCTCTGATCTTCTCTGGATTGACCTCAATCCCTTTTCGAGAAACCATGAAACCTAGAAACTTTCCAGACTCCACGCCGAATATGCATTTAGCTGGGTTTAATCGCATTCTGTTCTTTCTGAGGTTGTTGAAAGTTTCATCGAGATCAGCTAGATGGTCTTCTACTTTCAGGTTCTTTACCACAATGTCATCGACATAAACCTCTATATTCCTACCGATCTGAGCTCGGAAGACGATGGTTACCATTTTCTGATAAGTAGCACCTGCGTTCTTTAAGCCAAATGGCATCATGACATAGCAATAAATTTCATCGCCAGCATAGAACGAGATTTTCTCTTCGTCTTCTAGAGCCATCGGCACCTAGTGATACCCGAAATATGCATCCAAGAGACTTAATCTCTCATTGCTTGAAGCCGCTTCAACCAATTTGTTAATGCTCGGCATCGGATAACAATCCTTGGGGCGAGCTTGGTTAAGATTTGTGTAATCGATGCACATTCATCATTTACCGTTTGCCTTCTTCACCAGGACTGGGTTAGCCACCCATTCGTAGTAATCAACTTTTCTGACGAAACCAGCTTGTAAAAGTTTCTCTACCTCTTCTTTTATAGCCTGAAGCCTCTCCCCCCCAAAGAGACGTCGCTTCTAGGCCACGGGTTTCTTCAATAGATTGGTGCTGAGTTTATGTTGGGATACCAAGGGTGGAATTCTTGGCATGTCTGCCGAGGTCCACGCGAAGACATCATTGTTAGCTCGAAGAAAAGCTATTAGCTCTGCCCTTTCCTCCGGGTTCAATCTAGTTCCAATTTGCATCTTTCGGCTCGGATCTCTGTCATCAATGAGCACTTCTTCGACATCTTCGACTGGAGTAGCTCTGGTTTCATCTTCCGGTCGATTATCTACTATCTCAACACCCATGACTTGCTGATTATCAGGAATTTGTTGGGGGATGACCTCGGGTGTCTAATCTTTGCCCTTTTTAGGTTGTGTTACCAAGGTGATATAGCAATGTCTAGCCACCTCTTAGTTGCCTCGTAGTGTTGCTATTCCCATAGGAGTTGGGAACTTCATGTAGAGGTGAGACTGGGAAACTACAGCTCGAATCTCAGTCAGCGTAGGTCGGCCAATAACAATGTTGAAGGAGGACGCCATCTTGACTACTAGAAACCTGACTGAAGGGGTCACATAATTTCGACCACTTTCAAAAGCAACATTCATGGTTAGGACTCCTTCAACTGGAACTGGTTGGTTGTTGAATCCGTAGATGAGACCGTCATACTTCTGCAACAAAGCTGGATCCAGCCCAAGACTCTCAAAACAATGGAAGTACATTATATTTGGTGCACTTCCTGTGTCAACAAGGACACGCTGCACCTCACAATTGTTAATCATGACAGAAGTGACTAGAGGGTCATTGTGAGTTGTGACGACTGTATCGAGATCAGCAGATGTGAAAATAATGGGTTGATTCTTCCACTCAGCATCGTCAAACTTCCGTTTCTGAGCTCGGTTCTGATGCTTAACCTCTCTGACATACAACTTTCGCTGTTTAGAACTCAGTCCACCTGCTTCCAGGCCTTTTGTGATCATGTGTATGATTCTAACTGGTGGTGGGAGCGGAGGTGGGGTTTGCTGATATCCCACACCTTGCCTGTTTGGTGGGTTACGGATTCCTTGAGGCTGTGGCCTTTGCTCTCTGACAAACCTTGGCTATTCAGCTCTCTGAATGTACCCATTCAACAGTCCCTTCTGGGCAAGACTTTTCAGCTCGGACCTCAAGCTGTTGCATTGTTTTGTTGTATGACCGTGATCTTGATGAAAATCACAATATCTAGTATGGTCTCGGCTAGTGGCGGCAGTTCTCATTGGGCCAGGACGCCTTAAATCCATCTTATTCTTGATCTGTATGAAAATCTGTGACCTCGGCAAATTAAAAGGAGTCCAGTTAACTGGAGGTTTACCTTCAGACTGTTGTGGGGTGTAGAGTTCGGTCTTCCGAATCTCGGTGCGGAGGTTGACATCGGACCTCGATTTTGTGCTATCCTCATCCGTTTCCTGCTTAGATTCTCATCTCGCCAGTCTGGGTTTTGGTTCTTCGAGGGGGCTGGTTTCTACGACAAGGCATACTCTTCAGCAGTTATGAATTTCAATGATCTATCATGTACCTCGTTGAAGGTGGTGGCAGGATGTTTGAGCAGACTATCTCTGAATCTCTCATGGCTAAGACCTGAAATCACAACTATAATTCCCACAGCCTGGTCGAAAGAGCTAACCTCCAGTACTGCATCATTGAATCTGCTCATAAAATTCTTCAAAGACTCTCCGTCCCTCTGCCTAACTCGCATCACCTCAGAAGTGGTTTTCCTAATCAACCTTATAATGGAAAACTTTGTGGCGAAAGTAGATGCCATTTCTGTATAAGAGTTGATTGACCTTGGAGGTAGACTGTAATACCAGGTTCAAGCATTACCTCGAAGAATAGAGGGAAAGATTTTGCACATCAATGCATCAGAGGCGTTCTAGGCTTGCATGCAAGAGTAGAAAGCATGCAAGTGATCATTGGGATCCTTTGTCCCATCATAAGTCTCAAGTTGAGGTATTCTAAAGCCAACAGGGTAGGGTTCTAATGTGATGTTGGTGTTTAAAGGGTGAGGTATGGAGTCCGCAGCATGACGTGGAGGTGAGGCACCCCTCTGCTCTACTACTAACTTTTCCAAGCTGTCTAGACGTCGAGTGACATCATCAGGGAGGGGTTGCTGAGCTGGTGCGATGTGAGATTGGCCCTAAGATTCACTAAGAGCAGGAACATGCTGAACTGGTTCAAGGTTTTGTTGTGGAGCTGGGGGTTATAGAGCAAGATTAAGTAGGTTGATGAGTGGATCACTAGGATTGTTCCGGGCTAATAGCTCAGCCAGCACTAACTGAAAGACACTAAACTGTTGTTGCATGGCAACGAGCTGAGCTGCAACTATGTCTTGGTTGGCAGTAGAGGTTAAGTTGTGAGCCGAATTTGTGGTTGGTTTTCATCTCCTCCTTTTGCATGGTCAACATGAGGAATTGTATTTGGGATTGGAGGTGGGAGGTGAGGTGGAAGGTTGCTGGGAACCTGACCTCGTCCAAGAGGCTGAGATGAGTTTCCAGCTCGGACTGACCTAATATTAACCATGATAAAAGCAACAAGGAAGCCTTCAGTTCGGATTCCCACAGACGACACCAATGTAATTGCACCAAACTAGAAGTTCCTCTTCAGTCCGCGTCTGCACTCCGGATTGACCTGCAAAGCCCCGAGATGGAACTCAGGGTAGACACTCCGATGCTTAAGTCAGCAATAATTGGGACTACTTTTAGAGTGGAGATAAAAGGAGCTTAGGGTTGGTTTCAATTACCTTTTGACATGGTCCGTGAGGGGTATTTATAGGATCCAATGAGGAACCCACGTGGCATGCCAAGCAAGATATTCGAGATTTGATGTGTATCTCCAGACAGTTATTTCGGGACCGGGAAATTGAGAGATATTCAGATGCGAGGATGTCTATCATAACTGTTGTGTAGCTCATCATAAGGAATCAGGTGCGGGCATGCTCATTGTTGTTGTCATACAGCTATTTGAGCGGGAAGTTTTGGATTTATCCTTCACTTCGGTCATAAAGGAATTACTGTAGCAGTCCGAGGCTTGGCACCTCGAACCTATCCCATATATTTTATAAAATAAAAAATATCAAAAAGCTAAAAGTTCTTATTTTTCATCATTTTATACCAATCAATAAGGCTAAATTGAACTAAAGGTGTAAAAATTACTATAAACCAAAGATGAAACACAAAAAACTATCAATAAATTATTAGTGTTGTCATCTTTCTTCTTGTAAGATGATGAAGACATCCTCACAAGCAAACTAACATGACCAACTTATCGTGTCCTTTTATATTAATCTTCTGGGAAATCCACAAAGTCACAACCAATATTAATCCAAGTTTTAAATGATCAACAAAACACACTTCAATTTACAATATATATACATATATGTATGAAGTACTTCAGCACTTCCTTTTAAAATAATTGCACCATAAATCTTGAATATGGAAGCTCAAGTTAATTTTTCATACTTGAGGTCTCAAATTCAAATTCAAAAGAAGGTAAGGAGTTTAAGAAGAAGGTAAGAAGAAGTTTAAAAAGAAAAGGATTACCCTCTTTTATATATCCTAACTCCAGTACCCCAAAAAAAAAAAAAAATTATTTTCACTATTTAAATGAAAAATGTTCTATGGGCTTAGAGCTTTACTTAGTACAAATACCCGAATATAGAGTATAACATAACATTTTATCTACAATATATGGTAAGAATTACCACAACATATAACTATTTAACATCTAAAATTATAAAAAAGATACAAATTAAAACAATTAGCTCCACCAACAAATTTGGCTTGCAATTTAATGAATAAAAATAACTATATAATATCTTAAAACAATTTTACCATAAAAATCATTATAAAATAATTATACAATATATATTGACAAAAATTTTAAAAAAATCCTATGCAATGCATGGGCTTTAAAATCTAGTTTACATATTTTATGACTTTTTGAATTTTTGGCTTCGTCATAGACTTTGGGCAATTCAATTTCACTGGGTTTTGCTCGTTGTGGATGAGGAACATATTGATCTAGGGTTGCATCGACTATATATGATGTTTTGCATCACTTACATTGGTTGTCAATGACATGGTTAGAGGATGCGGTCGTTGGTTCTTTTTGCTCCAAAAGTTGGCATCTCATATAGAACTTCTCATATGCTTTAGATGCACACTTGGGTTAGGTTTGTTTACTCATCTATAGCAATTGCTTCTGTCATCTTTAAAAATTGATGGTTTTTTGTAATTAAATTGTTCATATATATCATGGATGAAATCATTTGTTACTAATACCATAAAGTTAGGTTCATTTTGTTATACCTATGCAGCTCAATTCTTTAAGATTTCTATGTAATATATATTTCTCCATTATTAATGAATCTGGTGAATTTTTATAAAAATAAAATAAAATTATGTCTTCTTCTTTGTGAAATATTTATTTTTTACCAAGGTTTCGGTTAAGATCTTTGGTGTCACTCTAAGGTAGGGCAAAGAAACTATTACAAGACTTACCCTCCACTCCAATCATTTGATCACAATACCTATTTTAGTTAGTGTCCTTTTCTATAAACCTATTATTGTAAACATGAACCCAAAATAAGTTCATCATTTATTCAAATAAGGTAAAATAGATATCTTAAATCAACATGAATATTTCACTGAAAATCGGGCTTCAGTTAAGCACACAGAGGGTATTAGGCATCCTATAACTTCTATGAGTCATGATTATCCCATTATTGAAAAAATTGAGGTATTTTGGATCTGTTCAAACCACTAAAAATAATGTTTACTTCTTTACTAATTTTTTTTTTTAAATTGTCATTTCCTTTTTTTTTTTTTGTCCAAAATTCGTTTTTTTTTCTTTTTCTTTTTTTCTTTCTCTCCAATTGTTTCTCCTTTTCTTGAAAATTTTAAATCTTCTTGTTTCTTCTCCATCCTAATTTTTGGAAAGCCACTGATTTAGCCCATTAAAAATTTTAATCGACAACCAAAAATTAAAATTCAGGGTCCAATATAATTTCCCAAATCTATTATAATCTATTTACAAGTGAACTGTGAACTAATCGCGCATGAACTTTTTATCTTTTGTTTACCTCTCATTAAAGTATTAATCTTGTACGGTTTTATGTTATGTTTTAATAAGATGTATAATTGATAAATTGTGTTTTTATATATAACTTGTGTTTTAACAATAAAAGAATTTGGTTATCAGTAATAAGATTTACAAAAATAATATAGTTACAATATTATATGATAATATAAACTTATCATTAAATGATGGGGTCTTTTTTAGCTTTAGAGTCGAATCTCCAATGTAAGAATAAAGTCTTCTTGCTCAAGAGATGAATATAGGGTTTTATATTTAACTCCTTAGCCATTTTTTGCAGTTTTTAGATTTTTTTTTTTTTGACACATTTTGAAGTTTTACAACTACACACTTAAATTCAAATTCATTAAATAACTTAAAGGGGTTTTATTATCCTTAAAATCACTTAGATTTCAACAGAGAATGTCATAAATATAAATATAATGAATATAATTAAAGGTATAAAAAATATCTTGCTAATCTAATTAGCCTGTAGGATATACTTAAGCAGAGATAACGTCAAAGATACAGAAATCATATTTACAATTATCAAAATCAGTATAATTCGTTGTTGATTTAATGTTATCAATCAGTTAGTTCTATAATGATTTAACAATAATAATAGACATTTATTCTTGTTGCAATTAGTTATTATTATTATTTTTTTTATGTATTGGTAAAAAGTTGTCATTTAATGACTTCATCTATGATTGAAGAAAGATAGGTCACTATTCTCTTTATATTTAGTTTTGAGAGTATTTTCACAATTGTCAATTACAAACTATAGGGAAAATGTTCTCATTTGGTGACTTCTTTTATATTTAATAAAGAATATGCCTTTATTCTTGTTATAATTAATCAAGAGAGTATTCCTTTTATTGTTAATTACAAATTTTGTAAACATCAATAAATTAAATTTGTATTATATAAATAGAGTCAAATTTATTATCAAATTTGGTATAATTTGTTATTCTTAAAAGTTTTCTTTTACTGCCAATAACTTAAGTGATTAAATGATAATTTCCTTTTATTAAAAGTAACAAACTTTAAGTTTAAGTCAAAAAGTACTTGGCTGAGGTGACTTAAAGGATGAAAAAGAGTCACCTTCTATTATTTATCTTAAGATTGAAAAAAAAATTAAAGTTGTATTTTAGTTAGTTTGGTAGTTATTGAGCAAGAATAGACATTCATTCTCATTGCAATTAATTTTTTAAAGTTGTTTTGTTTGATATTAGTAAAAAATTGCCTTCCAATGACTTCTTTTGTGATTGTATATCAAAAAATAAGTCATCATTCTCTTTTAGTTAGATATCAGAATATTGTTGCTATTATTAATTACTTGTTTATAAAAAACCAACTGTTAGACAACTTTAAATATATAGAAATGATATTTATGATCATCAAAATTGGAGTAATTTGTTCTTGGTTAAATCAGGTCATATAATTGGTTTGATAATGATTAAGCAATAATAGACATTTATTGTCATTGTATTTGTTACGGAAAATGTTTTCTTTGATAATGTTAAAAAGTTATCATTTAGTGGCTTCTTTTATGATTAATGAAGAATAGGTCATCATTCTTGTTATAGTTAGTTATGAAAGCCTTATCACTAGTCAATTATAAATTATAGGTGAAATGTTGTCATTTAGTCATTTCTTTTATGACTTAGAAAATTGTTATACTTGTTATGGTTACTTATGGAAGTATTGTTTTTCTTGTCGATTAAAGATTTTGTAAAAAAGAATAAACCGATTGGCTTTGTAAAAATAGAGTTAAAATTATTTATTCGTAACAAATTGGCAATGAGAAAACTTTAAATACTTATAATCGATATTTATGATTATCAAAATTAGTATAATTCATTATTGGTTATTGGTTAAATGTTGTCGTTTAGTTAGTTCTATAATTATTGTGTGATATATACATTTATTCTCATTGTAATTCATTATGAAGGTTGTTTTTGTAAGATCTCAATTCCACATCAAAAGGTTGTGAGTAGTACGTAATAAATATAGAGACCAATCAATATTAACAACTTAAAGTCGAGTTTTTGAGAACTTGTAAATTTTGACTTGGAGGTTTGTAACGTGTGTCTTCCTTTTTTTTTTCACTTTTAACAACACCCTTGAATCCCAATCTCTTGTAGACAAGTGGTGGGTGACTTGCTTTACTTTTATTTAAATGACCAGTGCTAGGGGTGCTCGCCTCCTGCACTCTCCGGCCAACACTTCTCCTTTCATTGGGTCAGGTTATTTTAGTTTGGCAAGAGGTTGCACTTCAGAGCCTTAAACAACGTTATGTGGCCCAATGAAAGGGGGAGTGTTGGTTGGAGAGTGCAGGAGGCGAGTGCCCCTAGCACTGCTCTATTTAAATATATAGGTGGTAGTTTCAATTTTTCTAATCATTAACAAACTTAATTTTTCAAAATTTAATTATTTTTTTTTTCGATATTTTAAGTGAGGTGTAAACACTTTAGTCACTGTTATGATTAAAGGGAAATTGATTGTTATTCAAGTATTGTCATTATTATCAAGTACAAATTGTAAACTTGAACAATTTTTTTTTTTTTTGTAAAAACAGTGTCAATTGTTTGTGTGGAAGAAACCATCCATGAGATAGCTTTAAATATAGAACTGATATTTATAATTATAAAGGCAAAAGGTACCCGTTTGCCCTTTAACTTTTCGAATTTGAGGCGTTTTACCCTCCAAATTACCATACATGGATTTTTACCCTCCATATTTTTGAGCTTGAGGAAATGAGGCAAAATTTAACGTCAGAGCGTCACATGTAGTATGTGCACCGTTGGCCTCCGTCGAGTATGCACATGTTAGCGCCAACTCAGACTTTTTTGACAACTTGGCATGCCAACTTGGACCCCCATGAGCGGGAAGTCTACCTGCTACCAATTTTATTTGTGGGTCCCACCACTGACTAAAGGTTTAAAAAAAAAAAAAAAGACAGATGAATGCAAAGAAATCTATTTAAATGATCCCTAGGGCACAAAGAGTTTTGAGTTTCCTTCTCTTCTTTGATCTTCAGATTCACACCCATTTCATTTACTTGTTCAATGGCTAGCTCCAGCAGCTCTCACACTTCAGCACTGGTGGATTTTGGAACACACGAGTATGATTACAAGGGGCCAAGTCGGTTTTGCTTTTGTGGTTTGAAGGCTCCAAGGATCATGTCTTGGAGCGAAAAGAATCATGGTCGAAGGTATTTTGGATGCCCAATATGGATCCCATGGTAATTTCTTCCCTAATGTTTGATTTTAAACTAGTGTGTTGTTTAGGAGTTTTTTTTGTTAAGATATTTCGCAGATACTGTGTGGTAATGTTTAGAGTTTTGCTTGGCATAAAGATTGGGTTTTGATTAATTGTTAATGAAATGTGATTTTGGACATTTGCAAAATAAAAAGCGACAATGTAAGTATTTTGTGTGGTATGATCAAGATTTCTCTTTTAGGGCTAAGGAAGTTATCTCGTGGCTGCACAACAATAAGACAGAATTGGAAACTAATTTGGATGATGCAAGGGAAAGGATCAAAGCTCTTAGGAATGTTTTGAAGTGTTATGAAGAAAAAGGAGAGCAACAGATTGAGGCATTGGAGAAGCAAGTTAATGATTTGCAGATGTTGGCAACAATGACAATGGTGTATGCTACGAAGCTAGAGAAATGGAAGAAATGTGGTCAAATATCTTTGGTCGTGGCTGTTTTCCTTGCTATTCTACTTGCTTTTTTCTTGTTTAGGAGTTGGGTTCTACTTGTTGATGGGAACAGGGGTTTCAAAAGGCTTGGAAATTAAGAAACTAGGCAAATGGGGATAGTTTTGTTTTTTAGGCATTATCTGTTTTTTGGTGGGCAATGTGGTTGTCTTGAATGGTAGTGTTGAAGGTTTGTAGATACTGCCCCCAATAATTCTAATATGGGGCCTCATTTCTCCCCAAGCTTTGTAATTTATTTTGGATATAATGAATATAAATTAACTTCTCCAAAATTGTTACCTCATTTTTTTAATATTTGATCAAATGGAAATAGCTATTTGTGCTATTAATATTAACAATATAAACAACCATAAAAGGTACAAAAATAAGGAAATATCACTTACCATTAATTGATAATATAAGCCAAAAGGGTTACATTGACACAATTATCTTGTTAGGATTGAACAAAAGCTGACAAGAGACAAAGATATCCACCATTTTCCCAGAATTTCATCCCATATTCCAAAAATCCAAACCAAAAATCCAAAATCAAAAAATGCTACATATTCTTGCCAAATACAGATCCTACCAAAATAGATACAAGAGCATGTGAGCCACTTTGTTTCCATGCATTTATTGCATTTACATATTACCTACAGAAAACACCTTCTGCAACCTTAAACCAAAGTTCTTTACTCCCATGCAT